TTCTATTGCGTTGACCAATTATACATACATGTGCGTATATATTTATTTGTGGCTGTAGTACCTATGTACATAGCTCTATATTTTTTCGTTTTTAATCTAATTTATATTCTTGATGGACGCACGCGACCAGTTCGGTAACACGTGTCATGCGTCATGCGACAACGCCTCTCGGTCGGTCTGCGTTTCTGTCTGGTTTTTTTTTGCCACAGTCATTGCACGAAGCACTTTTATTATATCTATAAAAAGAGTTAATATTTTATCATAGAAGTTGCTTGAATATCTTGAAATCTACTCTAGTGATCATCCTGAGCAAGGAAATATTTTGTCTGGATACCAATGGAGGTTTTCTTCTTCCTGTTAAACTACGGATACTACTTATACTTGTCTTCCACGATTACAGGGTATTGAAAAAACGAAAAAACCATGCCGCCAAGCATATTAAACAATGGAATGGAAATGAATCAATTTTATGCGCACTCATGTTCACTTGTGTGAGTCTTTTGTGAGTGTTTCGTGTGAGTGTGTGTGTTTGTTCTGGGGAAGGAAGCGCCTGCACAAATTTGTGCGCGCACAACTCAAACTCAACGCAACTCCGGACCGGGCCGCTTCATTGGCCAAATGCATAAAATGAATATTAAATTAAAGTTGAAACTGAAATTGCCGCAGCGACAGCGGAATTCACTGGAAAAGGCAGACCGACAGCAGCCCCAGCAGCAGCAGCAACATCCGGTGAATAGGCTGAGGCCGGAGCAGCGGCAGGGCTTCTTTCTGTCTAAAACTTTTGCCAAAAAACGAAAAAAAAAAATGTTCGTTAACTCAGATACAGCTTCAGCTACAGTTTCCAGATGGAACTGACCCGCATGGGCCAGGGGTTGGACCTGAATGTGGAATTCTGTGAGAGGGTGGGTTGGACTCCACTGTAAAGTTGTCGCCCGCCAGTGTGTATGCACTCGACTGACTGCGCAATTGAGGGACAACAGCAACAAAAACGATATGCAGTACAACGGTAAGATAATTACTTAAACCACTAGAGTAAAAGAGAAAGAGCACAAATAAGGCATGGCATCTAGGGGAAGAGTGAAGAGTAGAGGGGAAGATTTAGGGAAAAAGACAAAGAGTGCGCTCTGGTAATGAAGTCATTGCCCAGCACGTGGCTTTGCAGCAGCAGAGGAGGAGGAAGAGGAGTATGAGGATGGAGGATGACAACGGACAACGGGCATTGTGCAAGGTTAGGGCGTTGGCTTGACAGCACTCCGCTCCCATAGCGCCGTGCCATGCTGCACTAATGATGTTATCATGGACTTTTCCGTTGTGATGTCTGATGGACTGATGAATGATTGATTTGTGTAAACTTTGACCTAAGAAGCGGTCACTCGCTGCTGGCGGGCATTTAAAGTAGAGCAAACAATCCGGAAAATAACCACACAATGAACTGCCTTGACAGACGATCGCTTTGGGAACTGGAACAACAAAATCTGAGTAAGAAAATAAAAATGAGATATGTATGACATGGTACACATGTACATATGTATTTACTAGTACATTTTACATAGTATATGTACTAGACATAGCGAATATGAGACACCCTTGAAGAGAGATATTTAATCAACATTCAGTCTTGAATCAAAATATAACCAAATATGAGAAATTCATCGTTCCAGCACAATCTGCATGGCTTCTAAAACAGTTAACAAGTTAAGTTCTCAGCTGATTAGATTTCTGTAGAATATTTAATATAGTCTGCACACATTAATATAGGGTATAACATGCACCATCATCGAGAATTGGCGCTTATCTGGACAGAAACCCATTGAAGCAGCACAATGAATGAAACTTGGCAGAGAATCTTCTATCTGCTGGTCTATAAGAGGTCAGTGGAGGGGCAGAGGCACTTTTCAGTTCGCTTTGTGGCCCCTGCCACTGCCCCCTGCAGTAATTTGTTAAGCGTTGCCATTGATGCGAAAAGTGTGACGAACACGAAGATAATGTAAAAATGCACCAGAAGAGAAAACAAGTGACAGAAACAACAAAAATAGTTTAACTCAAGAAATTTGAGCAAAGAGACAATTAGAGAAAGAGAGTATTTAGTATATTAGATCTAGCACTGGAGTCCAACTCTTTTGGGATTTCTTCATCTCTCGCTAGCCGCATATAGGAATACATAGAACAGGAAATCCTTCTCCTCACACAAATATACCTTATACCCAGTAAATATATAGGCAACACTGGCAGCCGCAAAATTGTGGCCACTGCCATCGCTCCACAGAAACGTGCATCGTACAAAACTGTAATTAGAAAAGCATTTAAATTGGCAACACCTGGCACAAAGGCAATTGGCAACGCGACAGCAACAGTGTGGTTGGACGGGAGGGGGCGACAAATGTGTGGGAAACGTCGAGTGTTTGCCCGAAGGAAGGGGGCGACGACTGTGTGGGAAAAGGGACGTACATATATATGTACATGTATAAACACATCAAATCGCAGCGCGCGCGGCACCAACAAACATACAAGAAATCTCTTTGAGCAAGACGACCGGGCGGAAGGACGGATGATGATGATGCTACAGACGACTCGTGTGTATATAAAAATAAGCTGAAAAATCGCTTTTCCTCCCCTACTGTTTAGTTGAGGGGTGTGTGGGGGTGGTTGTTGGTCGGTCTGTCGGTCGTTTGTCTGGATGCTGCTTTCCGGCGTTTCGCGGAAAAAACTGTGAATCAACTCGAAAGGCAACAACAATAACAGAACAAAACAGAACATCAACGTAACGGTGTAAAAGCGCACGTGACGCATACACCTTGCCCCACCACATGCCGTCCCATCAAGCTGTGCTCCCCAGTACTCCCCTTTTTGGGGTGTAAGGACAAGGTACGCCCAGTAAAAGGTGAGGCAGTTCGGGAAAACAGCACCCATGGAGCGGGTTCTGCAGTACCATTTGTTTAATATCCTGTGGGGACCAACCCCAGAAAATGACAATACTTACCAACTCCGTATTTGTTGTTTGATGATATCCACATTTTGTTGTCTTTGTTGTTGTTGTTGCTACTGCTGCTGCTTCTCCTGATTTTGGTTGATGGCGAAAATCCAATTTTGCAATATTCCCAAAAACCTTGTGCCGGCCACTCCCTTTGTGCTGGGGGAGGCCCTCTTCCCTCTCAGCAATACGTTGTCAGCGGAATTCCTTTTTATGTGGCAATCGGATGATGGAAATCGCACATTTTGAGGCGGAAGATTTGCTTTGGATTTGCATTTAATTATTGCTTATGTCTTTTCCACCATCTTTAGACATATACACACAAATACACACACACACAGAGTCGCACGGCGCACGGCAACTTTCGCTTTTGTTGTTGCCTTGCCTGCAGCCCCCTTTCGCGCTGGAACTCTCGTATTTCGCACAGGCTGGTGGCTGGCTGCTTGATTAATAAACTAACAGGCAACAACAACGGCCACTTGTCTACGACATTGCTGATTGGAGTGGAGGCCCAGTGCAACAAAGTTGATGATTATCCCCCACTTATGCTCTCCTCCGCGAATGGGTGGTTGGAGGACGGTGGGGAGGATGGGATGGGATTGATGTCGTCTCAAAGTGGTTGCCTTTGATGCGTTTTTCACGCACACAAATCAAGAAAATCAATAAGAATTTGGAATTCTCCAGCCGACAGTCGTTTTGGTTTGTTGACTCTTTTGGCTTCACGAAATAACAATAAAGTTGTTTTTGTTGTTGTCGCCCACTCGCGTCGCGTCGCCGCTATATTTAATTATTGCTTATTTCGCACAAAACGCTCCCGAACGAACAGATGATTTGCGTTCAATTTATCCACTGCTCTTTGTACTAATTTATTTCTTTGCTTGTCACTTGTTTTATCTTAATTCGCAAGCACTTTCTTTTGATCAATTCCTCTTTAAGTTCCCTTCGTTCGTCGTGCTAATAACCGTTGCATTAACCGTTGAGTTTATCCCGGCGCTAACCCACCGATTCTCTATGTTACATACTTTGTCGGAATCGGAATTATTATCAACGTAAATTTCTGAATTCAGATTGTTGTGTTGTGTTTTGTGTACTGGCGAGCTTTGAAGAGCTTTCAATGGCGAAACTTGTGGGGAAATGTAAGGTGTCGACTGCATGTGAAACGTCACAAGAAATTTCAGGGCTGCAAGGTATATTACACCGGCGATTTTAATCTTACGTGATGGGATTGCTCCAGGGAAATCCTCTCCTGTGTCTAAACGGTAATGGAAATTCTCTCCTGCCAGAAGCTCTCGCAAGCACTATTACGGATCCTTTAAACAGGTGCCAGAATGGTGGGAGCTTGGAAACATTCGTCCTTTTTTACCTACTTGCCATACCTTGCGGTCACATCCCAAAGAGAGGATTAGGTCAGCAGTTCCTTTCTCTCCTCATTTTCGCTTGTCAAATGTGAGCACAGCCTCAAAAACATACCGAAATATACTTGTTCGCTTCCGAAATATACTGTAAATCTCACTCGAATCGTCATTTAATTCTCCAAAAGATCTTTCAAAAGAAGCATAAACCCAAAAACGTTAACCAAACGTTACGTAGTTTGAAAACTTGTTGCTTGTCAACCAGCATCATGGTATGTTATGTGACTCGTAAACCCTATTTAGATAAATTAATATTAAAAAATTAATGATGTTTTCCAATCTGCTCCTAAACATTTATAATGACATTATCTTATACAGACAAATATTAAACGTTTTTATATGTTTTCTAAATATATCAATTTAGATACATTTTCGCAATTCCGTCGAATTGCTTACAGCACCTTATAAATATTCTACCCTGGACTAGGGCGGCAAATATCAATAAATATAAAATAAAGCTTGTAAAGGGAAAATAATTGTATGGAAATTGTAATTGTGTAATTTAATTAAATTCAATTTTTGAATCCATTTTAAGTTCCCACCACTGTAAAATCAACTGCAGGTGCAAGTCTGGCAACTCTCTTTAAGCTCGAGAATTCGAGCACGGAAACGCTGGTCACACTTTTAAAGGCGAGTTGGTCGGTGAACTTCCCTTTTTTTTTCTTTTAATAAAGCTCGATAATTTGGAGAAAAAAGAAAATGCCACCGAAGAAAATAGCCAACGGTCCTGTTCAGGTAAATGGATGGAATGCAAATTGTGAGCGTCTGTGGAAGCGTTCTACGTAAATGCATAAATTGTTGTTTAGTTGCCAGCATCCGGTGGAAAAAAAGGACAAAATCATTGCGTACTCTGCGCAGTCGTGGCGGAGCGATTTTGCCAGAGATGTGGCGACTTCTACTGCTCGAAGGCGTGCCAGACAGCGGACTGGCAGCACCACCGCTATATTTGCTTTCCGATGCCGGCCCTGGTGATGCCCAGGGCGTTTTCCATTCTGCAATGCCAGGAGGAGCTGTCGATGGACATGGCTGGTGTATCCAAGGCGGAATCCATTAAAGTGACTGCAGCCCCTATTGCTGATAGCACGAGCAGCAGCGACAAGATTAGCAGCAGCACTAGCACCATCATGTGCAGCACCGCACCAACTATAAGTGGAATTGCCGCTCAGATGGCTGCAGCAGACCCTAAAACGAGCAACCCGAGCAGCCCAAGTAGCGTCCTCTCGAACGAAAGTGCCAGCATTAAAACGAAAATGAAAATCACGACTCTGCCGACTGTGGTAATACCGTCCAGCAATAGTGTGGTCATCATTAGTGGATTCCGTTCTGCGAATCGCTGCTTTGTCCGCAGCGAATCCGCTGACCAAGCGTATTCGCAAGTGTGCGAGAAGGTTCGTTAATGTTTACATTAACTCAACAAATTCTAACATTGTTGCGTTTTAGGTCAATGCGTTGGGCAACGAGATGCCAAAAGTGAAGAATCTACGACCCCAGGGCTTCGTCTTGGCCCTCCACAATGGCGTATTCCAGCGGGCCAAGGTAATGCAGACACGGCCGGGTAAAACCGCCAAGCTGTTGTTCGTGGATCAGGGCATAATCAAGATGCGCGAGATGGAGTCCATGCGCGAGATAAGCGACGAATTGCTCGCACTTCCGAGCTTCTGTTTCCTGGTGCAACTCAAGGACGTTGCGAACTATACCATAAGCAACGATGTGATGTCCTTTCTCTCACAATTCGATGGCGAAAAATTCGTCATGCACCACAACTCTGTCTGCAAGAATTACACAGTTAATGTTGAGCTTGTGAGTGTGAAAACACAAAAGTCCCTGAATGAAACGGTTCGGGAATTTTACTCCACAAATAAGGTTCATCTATTTGGCAAGAATGCAAGCCCAAAGGTTGAGAATTCGGAAAGTGGTGTCTCAGATGTGGAGAAGCCTCGAGAGGAAAGTCCGAATGTGGCGGGAAAGGTTGAAGAACCATTGAAGCATCCAGCGACAAAGAGCGAACCGATTATAGATCTGAAGCTAACTGAGGTATCTGACGAGCCTGCAAAGATAGAGCCAAAATCGGTTGAAGAGTTCGTATCTGAAATAAGTGCATCAGCTCCAACAGCAGCCACAACAAACATTGATGTACTTCCGAAAGCGGCAACAGCAGATGCCCTCAAAGTCATTGAGGTGCCACTCCCAGTCCCTAAAGTCAATGGAGCTGATGCGTCCAACAATGGTCCGATTCTGGAACCAGTGAGTATTATTCCTTGGTTCAAATCCAACCTACATTTCCCTTTCTTCGGCTTGTAGCCATTTGAGATGAGGCGCTTAAGTGTCAATGACAAGGAGGGCATCGATTTATACATTGTGGATAGTTTAAAAATGTCTCGTGGCATTATTGGGGCCTTTGACCGTGTCTTTGCCAGTGAATTTGGATGTTTGAATACAACCATATCAAAGATAAGACCATCGAAGCCGTATAAGCCAGTGTAAGTGATCAAAGTACAATCATAAACACACCTTACCAGACTTAACTATTTTCGCACACACACACAGTCTGAAGGAATATGTTTTGGCCAAATTTGAGAACAGCTTGTATCGTGCGAAGGTGGAACAGATCAGGCAGCTGCCACAGACACAGCAGACAGTGTACCGCATGACATACTTGGACTACACGAACATCGAAGAAGTGGCCGAGGAAGATATATACCGATATCCCCTGGCTATTGCTCTTCCTTGCCTTACCAGCATTTGCATGATTGAAGGTTTATTTTGTCCTTATCTGTATAATATTTACACAAATTTGTGTTTCTAATGGGATTTGATTTTTGCTTAGATTTCCCGCATAAACCGAATGCCGAGCAGATTGCATACTTGTCTGAGGTCCTAAAAGTGCACGAAATTATTCACGTCGATGCCGTTTCATACATGAAGAATGTGGCTTGGATCAAGTGCAATGAATTGATCAAAAAGCTTGAGACAATGTAGGGGATTACCCTGCAATTTCAATTGCCAAATTTCTCAGACTAATACACATATTCAGAATCATTTTAAAAAACATTTATGTATAAATAAAATTGCATTAAATAACAACATTAAAAGCTGTTAATACATTCATCTGTTTCGCCTGTTTTTTCTTAGCGTTTAGCTGCCGCTGATTAAAGTTTTTTACATTAGAAATTACACACGAGTAAAAGGGGAGGGGATGCTGTTAGGATGTTAGACATGGACAAAATAAGCAGAGTCGTAGACTACAACGACAAAAGGCACTGTTTTGGTGTGGATTGGCATGCAGCAGTCCTCAGTTTTTGTGCTGAACTGCAATTAGACATTTTTTTTCATGGTCATCTCGTGGGCAGTGCGCAGGCGGCGCCGCAGCTCGTTCGGGAAGCGTTCGTAGCATTTTTTGCACACGGGCTTCTCGTCGTATTCATAAAACTTGGACTTCTGAGTCATTTTCGTATCGCACACAGAACACGCAAAATGATGCACACACCAGGCTTTGTTCAGAGCAGTGAAAACTGTTTGGGGAAAAGCAATTAACGATGTTAGAGAGAGGAAATCATTCGGGGGAGTTGATTTGCTCACCATCACCGCCAATGACCTGGTTGCAGACAAAGCAAAGATTGCCAAAGAGCTGATGGTAATGCGTCTCGCAGTAGGCCAGGCCACGCTTCTCGTAGTGCCTATGCCCCAGGAAGGGCTTCTCGCACTTGGCACACACAAAATGCTCCACATGCCAGTGCTTGCCCAAGGCAGTGACCACACGCTCCTCAATCGGTCGACGGCAGGCCCCACAAATGGGAATACCCATCTTATCATGGCAACGTAGACAATACAATTCGTTCTGTGGGGATGAGATTAGGGGCAGCATTATGGCAGAGCAATTGGAATGGCAGTCATCAAGGATCTCACCATATCGTTGGCCGCCAGTCCTGGACGACTCTTCACCTCTCGCGCCGTGGAATCCAGTTCGGTACCGCAGGCCGTGCAACTGAAGTGATAGCCATGGTAGACCTCGCCCCGGAAACGCAGTGGCTCCTCGTCGATAAGGCCGCTGCGGAAATTCATTACAAATTAGTTGAAACAGTTTCATAAAGTATCCAAAACAGGGCCGGGACTTACTGGCATTTTTGGCATACATAGCGCCCGGTGATCTCAGCCTTCACCTTGGCATTGCACTCGTGGCACAGGGCGCGATTCTGATTCTTGATAAAGCCACTGTCGGCCAGCTCCTTGGCACACAACTGGCAGCGGAAGCATTGCGGATGCCAGCTGGCGGACATCGCCTTGATTACGCGTCCGATGACGAATTCCCCACACTTGTTGCAGCAGGGGGCGAAGAGTACATGGAAGTCACGTTCGCAATACTTGCGGCCCTCGAACTCGTAGAAAATCCCATCCTGGAATGGTCGGAAACACTGTGCGCAACTGGAAACAGGAATGCGTGAATACAGAAAGGAATCCAAAAGATGCAGTTGTGTTTAACTCACACAAAACACTGCGTATGCCAGAGCTCGCCATTAGAGTTGACAATCTTCTCGGTGGGCTCGAAGCCATCGGCGCAACGCGTGCAATGCATTGCACCCAGCGACATGTTCACGGCCTGGACTCTGCAATATCACAAAAGCGGATAAGATTAGAATTAGTTTCCATCATTTCATAGCTTTAGAGTGGAGGGATTACACTTTAGCTTTGGAGTACATCATGGTTATGCTTTGGCTTTATGGTTTTTTAGTGTTGATGCACAAATGAGAACACAACTTCAGGGCTGGGCATAGAGCGAGCAAATGGAGAGAACGCGGCCGGCCTTATCGTTGACACCCAACGTTGACTTGAGTGACTGCTGAATCATATTTCAAACACACAATGCAAATAAATGGAAGGCTAAGTAAGCTGGCACTTTGGATACCCTTGCATATGGAAAAATCTCCTGAAACTGCAGATCTTCTGTGGAATATTTATCATAAAATCTGTCAAGGGACTTCTCCTTTCTCTTTTCAGGTGCGTCCCCTTTTTGGGTTTCCAACATCTTTACAAAGATAAGATACCCTCTGCAAGGGTAAGCAAAAGATATGCCATTCCTTAGAGCTCGCTAGCTGGAGCGATCGGAATTTCAGTTGAAGTGCAAGCGTTAAAATGTGCGGATGGGGGCAGTCATTCTTCCTTCATTCAGTTGTCGTTTCTTTGGTTAATTAAATTGAATTTGGATTTGCCGCCAACACACACACACCAGCCCACTCATCACCACACAAACACACACACAAGCAAATAGTAAACAACACATCGACGGCGGCGGCGGCAGGGTTTATAAATAAATTTGAATGTGTATATGACGTCATCGATGGAGTAAACATCTGGCACCAAAAATGCATCTTTTGGGGGCTTAGGCACCATGGATGAATGCTGGGCAAAAGCATAGTTAATTTGCATATTACGCAGCCTTAAATGTAGTCAAATTGTGATGAGGACGAGTCTAAAGCGAGGAAGATAAATGAAGTGGGTCACTCTGCTGGGAACTGAGTCGTGTGCCAGTGACGTAAGTGCAGGACACAGCGAGGCGATGCCAAGGACGTTAACATATTTTTGGGAACATTCAGCTTACTGCACGGGTGGCATTATATCTGTTTAACTGGCTTTCACTTGTTGCACTTGCCCACGGCTGGCCAATTGGATTGCGATTGCGTACGTACAACGTTTTTAGATCACGGCAAGAGAAACACTCTGCAAAACAAAATTTTCATGAGAAATATGTGTGTGCTTCTGGCTGAAAGTGCTGGCCATTTTGGCCTGTTTCGGGCTAGATCCGGTTGCTGCACAGTTTCATCTCACTTTCTGCCCACGATCTGCCGTTTTAGCAAGCCAAATGGACCATCACAGGCGGACAGCCAAAGCACCACCAACGACAACAACAACAGGTCTCGTCTTGCCAAATTGGGAGACAAGAATTTCACTGATCTCAATGGCAATTTGGAAACTTTAAACTCCTCTAAGACATTGGTTGGGGTTTCCTTATTACCTCTAACTAACACTTTGCACTTCTCAATTGCTTGAAGCAATTAATTTATCTTCATTTATTTAATTAACACAGAAAGGGGGCGGGGGGAGCAGTGTGACCGCGGAATTATCGATAAGATATACCGTGTAACCCTCAAAAATATACCAAAATATAGATAATTAAATAAATCAAATTCCTCGATTTTGATGTTCTATTTTTTATATATTACTATCTTGCAAAGACTTTCAGCACTGAAACAATAATTTAATCCGATTGAACAATCAATTTGACGTGTTTTAAATACTTATTGTTGTTGGTTTGTATATTTTAGAAATTCGAACATTCAAATCACCCCTTGTGGAAACAAGGAAGATTTGTATACAGTATGTAAGTGTATGTAACATGTAGAGACACATGTATGTTAACTGATATCATACAAATTTTTGAAAAACTGCGCGGGCAACCAAAGAGAAACGAAATTCTATTATTTTACTGAAAGGGAGAGGGAATGGGAACATAAGTAAATATTAGAATGGCTTGGAATGGTTTGGGGTGCACATAATTGCGGCTAAACTCCGATTTCGGGTTTTATGAGCCCGCTCCTGACCAACCCCCAACCCGTACTTTCCAACCCCTCCGACTACCCATTACCCATATGCCATATGCATATCCAGATTTTATGCAATGATTATAAATTATAAAATATAATTGTTGAAACCTTATTTTCGCAAATTTGTGTATCTTTCTTAATTTATATTTACTACTCTTGTTATTCCAGTTAATTCTTAATTGAATATAAATAAATAAATGAATACCATAAACCGTATACTGTCTATAGTCAAATATTAATATATATTTTATTTTATATTTAGTTGTTCTCTTTAGCTGTTCAAACGCCCTTCGCAAAGAAAAAGAGGTTTCAAATTCCCTTAACAAACCGAGGGAGCTTTCATGGTGCGAAATTTGTACCAAAAATTAAGGTGCCAACAACAGGTAAATACGTCACAAAAAATCCAGTGGCGCCAGGTAAATTACACGGCGATTGCATCCCCCTTGATTGATTTCATACAAACAAAATCGTTCATGTCATGTTACATGAATCCTTCAACAGGCGCGAAAAAGGTGGGAGTTCTTTGAAAAGTTCGTCCTTTTCTACCTACTTGTCATACCTTGCTGTCACATGCCCTGCACTCATTTTTGCTTTTAAAATGTGAGCAAGAAAATCTACAGAAATATAAAAAATGATATACGTTCACACTCACATATACTGCAAAAATACCGTGGTCTCAAATCATATTCCTCGATTTTGAAGTTCTATTTGATATTACTATCTTGCAAAAACTTTAAAAACTGAAACAATAGTTTAATCCTATTGAAGAATAGTTTTGGCTTATTATAAATACTCCTTCATTATTGAATTGTGTACCTTATGATCCTATATTTTAAAAATTGGTATTTGAATTGGTCAAGAAATACCGCGAACCTACCGAGAAAAAAATCGAACTTAACCCTCTATTGACATGCATGAATCGCAGTCAGAGACCGTGCTGTGTAACGATGTTTTGTGTGTTGTCGCGCCAATTCTAATTGATTCACATATTTGAATAACAACTGAGAAGCGAAAAGCGATTCGACTTTATCCATATTTTGCTTGCAGTTAGTCTATGCCTGGGTGCAACCGGTCTTTTTTCTCACATTTAGAAAATATTCAACAGCGAAAGTTTGTTTTTGCCTGTTGTAAGATTTAGGCACATATTTTATATGCTTAGTTTAATTTTACATTGCCTTAATGTTAAAAATTCCAAATATTGGCAGACTTTTTACTATTCTTTTTATATTCTCCTTTCGACTTCCAACTTTGGAACCGCTTTAAGTTTCATGGTAATATCTTCAACATAATAAAGATCTTCAAATTTAAAACTGGTCTTAAAACTATAGTTCCTCAGCAGTTTGGCCAATGTGACTTTGATTGATATCAAAGCATATCTCCAGCCTAAAAGAATTAAGGTTGATTATTTTTGGAAAACAATTTTGCTATGAAACATATTACCTATACAATTCCGTATGCCCTTTGTGAAGGGTATAAAAGCGTATGGGTGCTTGTCCCGACTATTGTGAGGCAAGAAATTGTCGGGATTGAAGATTTCCGCTTCTGGTCCCCAGATTTGCTTGCTTCGATGCATGTGGAACATGTTTATGGCAATTTGCACTCCTTTCGGTACCACAATTCCATTTGTCAGTGTCAAGTCCTGTGCCGTTTGTCGCGACACAACTGGAACTGGCGGTATAACTCGCATGGACTCATTTATCACCAAATCCAGGTACTTCATTTGCTGGGTGTCTTCATATGTGACCTCGAAGTCACCTCCATCGGGGAACAAACTTTTGATTTCTTCAAACGCCCGCTCCTGGTACTGAGGGAACATGGCCAGCAGCATAAGAATATAATACACGGTATTGGCGGTCGTCTCAAAGGCACCAAAGACAATCACATTGGACTCGTCCTCGACATTTGTCAAGCTGAACACACCGCGCCTCAGTAGGTCAGTCGCCAGGTTGAGGAAAATGTTCTTATCCTTTGACTTGATGGAGTCCTCCGTGTCCTCTGCCAATCTTTTTTGAATAAGCTGAAATGGCGAACAAGTTACTCAAATATTCACAGAAAAGTGCCTCCATTATTCGCACCTTCCTTATGAACGCTCGAATCTCCGTCTTGGCTCGATGATAGCTGTCCTCCTTGCCAGCCAGCTGGCGGGCCCAACGACTGTTCAGCCAGGGCGAGAAGCACATATCTGTCATGGTTTCTAGACAACTGTGAATGCATAGCAGCAGCCCAGACCACACCTGACTCACCATTGATAGCGCTCCATGAGGGAGTTGCTCTTGAAATTCTCCTCACACTTCACATCGCAGCCCATTGTGGTTTCTGCACATGAATATTAGTTATAAGAAGATTTATCCTCACTGCCAGCTTCGACTACTACTCACGCGTTGCAATGCCCAAGGTCAGGCTCTGCAGCAGCGGAATCAAATCCTGCTCACCGCCACCGGGCAATGTTTCCAGCTGGCCGAGTAGCTGTGCCGTCTCCTTGTTGAAAATGGGCAGAAAGCTGAGCAACACTTTGTGGCCGAATGCAGGATTCAGCATCTTGCGATGCACACTCCAGCGAGGATCTAGACGAAGAGCACATTGAAGTAACTCCGAGCAACTCTACGGCCCTGCATACACGCACCCTTTAAACTGAACAATCCCACGCCAGCTCCATCGTCCACGGCCTTGTAGATGATGCCCTTGTTGACGCAGTGAGGCGATGTGAGGATATCCTGCACCACTTGCGGATCGCTGACGATCATGAACGGAATGGGTCCCAGCCACGAGAATATTGTGGGGCCATGCTTGGCCAGATAAATTCCAAATTCCTTCAGTATATCTGTCATAGATACAAAATTAAATCCACTGATCGATCCGATCCAAATTTAAATTCTTGAGAGTACCTTCCCTGCGCATCAGCTTGTGGGCCATGCCCAGAATGGGGTATCCAATAGGTCCGGGTATTTTGAGGGCGAGTAAGTAAAATCGCCGACGACTCCACAGAAAGTATATCCAAAGGACGAACAGCAAACCGCACCACAGTGTCCACGTTAACATGATTAATCCTTGGGAATGCACTATCCACTTTAAACACTTTTATCCAAAAATATTTCACTGATATCCGACCGATCGCTGTGAAGTCCGTCAACAATTTGATTATCCAATTTTGTGGCAATCAAGTTTTTATATGCCGGACGCGATTTCTTTTTTGGTACGCGTTCAATCTGTGTATTGTCACGCGTAGTGCTCTATGAGCATGGAAGACGCGCATACAAATAGCTATAATTTCAGCTAATGGCTAGCACGCCAAACACTTTGGGAATACGAAAATTTCCATTCCGGCCCCCAAAAGTCAAGTAATAACAAAACGTCATCGATTGATCAATCGGTGATAATTATTGCGTTGCAAAAAAGCAGCCAAAAATTCTACTATTGCGAGTGTCGTGCTACAAACCGAGTAGCAAATGCCATAACACACGTGCCTACATAATTATTGCAAATAGTAATTGACAGAAACATTTCATTACAAAATGTTGAACATTTTTAATTAGTCAGATAACTATTTATTACAGTTAGGAGGGAGCTGCGGTAGTCCATGCCCGGCAATTAATTCGATCATTAATAAAACAAATGTCAAATAACGTAACAAGTTTCGGAGGTTTTACTACGAGTATATTTTTTTATACAGATCTATTTTATTTGGATTGTTGTTCCTCATTCATTCCCTTAATTGTATACATTTATTTTGTCTTATACATTTTCTTACAAATTGCAATGGACTGGTGGCGAGTTCGTTGCTTCTTTTCACAACACATAATTACTCATATTCATTTTCTCTTTTGGACTTGCAACTTTGGAACCGTCTTTAGCTTCATGGTTACATCTTCCACGAAATAAAGATCTTCAAACTTAAAACTGGTTTTATAACTATAATTCCTCAACAGTTTCGCCAATATGACTTTCACTGAAATCAAAGCATATTTCCAGCCTAGAAACATAGAAATATTTATTATTAAAATATGCTTTTTAGCTATGAAATATATGCCATTACCTATACAATTCCGTATACCCTTTGTGAAAGGTATGAAGGCATAGGGATGCTGCTCGCCTCGAGCCTTGTGCGCCAAAAAGTTGTCGGGATTGAAGGTTTCCGCTTCCGGTCCCCAGAGCTTCTTGCTGCGATGCATGTGGAATATGTCAATCATGATCTGCACTCCCTTGGGTATCACAATCCCATTCGACAACGTTAGATCCGCTGAAGTTTGTCGCGATACCAAGGGAATTGGCGATATAACACGCATGGATTCATTTATAGCCAAATCCAAGTACACCATTTGCTGTGTGTCTTCGTAGGTGACCTCAAAGTCACCACTATCGGGGAATAGACTTTTGATTTCTTCAAAAACTCTCTCCTGGTATTGGGGAAACATGGCCAGGAGCATGAGAACATAATACACTGTCTTAGCAGTCGTCTCAAAAGCGCCAAACACAACTTGGTTGGACTCATCCTCTACATTTGTGAGATCGAAAACACCGCGCCTGAAAAGGTCCGTGGTGACATGGAGAAAAATGTTCTTATCCTTCGACACGATGGAGTCCTCTGTTTCGTCAGCTAATCTTTTATGAATGAGCTGAAATGGCGATTCAGGTTTTATTTTTTTCCATGAAATGTTTGCTAATTATTCAGACCTTTCGTAGGAACCCGCGGATCTCTGTTTTGGATCGATGATAGTTTACCTCCCTGCCCAACAGCTGCCGGATCCACTTGCTGTGTAGCCACGGCGAGATGCACATATCTGTGATGGTTTCTAGACAACTGTTAATGCATAGCAGTAGCCCAGGCCACACCTGACTCACCAGTGATAGCTCTCCACAATGGATTTAAAGTTCGCCTCGCTCTTCACATCGCATCCCATTGTGGTTTCTGTACTTGGAAGCCAAATGATGATCAATTAGCACATCGAACAAGGGAGATTTTCCCACTCACGAGTTGTTATGCCCATGGTAAAGCTTTGCAGTAGCGGAATTAAATTCAACTCTCCGTTGCCCGGCAGGGAGTCAAACTGCTTGAGTAGCTGTCCCGTCTCTTTGTTGAAAATGGGCAGAAAGCTGATCAAAACCTTGTGGCTGAATGCAGGATTTAGCAGCTTGCGATGCACACTCCAGCGAGGATCTAGACGAAGACCAGACCACATTGAAGTAATTCAGGAACACAGACTGCGGCAGGCCACTACACGGACGCACCCTTTAAACTGAAGAGTCCTACTCCCATTCCATCGTCCACGGCCCTGTAGATGATGCCTTTGTTGACGCAGTGGGGAGAGGTGAGGATGTCCTGCACCACCTGCGGATCACTGGCAATCACAAAGGGAATGGGTCCAAGCCAAGACATTATCGTGGGGCCATGCTTGCGCAGATAGATTCCAAATTCATTCAGTATATCTGTCATAGATACAAAATGTAATCCACTGATCGATCAGTTCCAAATGTAAATCCTTTAGTACCTTCCCTGTGGATCAATTTGTGTGCCATTCCCATAAACGGGTATCCAATTGGTCCGGGAATTTTGAGTGTAAGTAAATAGAATCGCCGCCGACTCCACAGAAAGTATATCCAAAGGACGAACATTAATCCACACCACAGTGTCCATGTTATCATGTTGTATCCTTTTGACTGCACAATACACTGAAATGACCGACAAGTTTCCGCTTCTAATCCGCACAATTTACGACCGAACGCTGTGAAGTTCACCAACAATTTGACTATCCAAATGAAAGCCAACCGAGTTTTTATATGCTGAACTCTAGGGCTTTTTTTTCGGCCGCTGTTGATCTGTGTGTACAACATTTGACACGCTTATTTCTCTATTATGGCCCATGTGATGCTCGGCGTAAACACTTAAAAAACAAAACAAAAAAAAGAAAGCCGGTCTTCAAAAACCAAGCGACAAAAAAAAATTATTGTTATCTTTGTTGATCAGAATAACCCATTAATCAAGTTATTCGGAAAGATGCCAGGAATTCTTAGTTCCGCTTCGTGAGAAATAAACAGCAAAGCTGCGTCATCTTCGTGTATTGTCATGACATGGTTACATATGTACATAAATGTACGAGTAGGTATGTTGTGTTGTGTTGATGCTCTTTTGATTCAATTATGATGCTTACGATAATTACCATTTACTGTAGCTTTTTTAAAAGCTCATCGAAAGTGAGTAATAAACTACATATGTATAGCACAGGTTTTTTTTTTAATTTGAAGCAGCGACTGCTGAGCTGCAAATTATATTCGCTGGAAGCTGTACCTGCTAATTGAAATCTAGACTAACATCATGCATATATGTTTTAGTGATCTTGTTTNCTGCAGCAGCGGAATCAAATCCTGCTCACCGCCACCGGGCAATGTTTCCAGCTGGCCGAGTAGCTGTGCCGTCTCCTTGTTGAAAATGGGCAGAAAGCTGAGCAACACTTTGTGGCCGAATGCAGGATTCAGCATCTTGCGATGCACACTCCAGCGAGGATCTAGACGAAGAGCACATTGAAGTAACTCCGAGCAACTCTACGGCCCTGCATACACGCACCCTTTAAACTGAACAATCCCACGCCAGCTCCATCGTCCACGGCCTTGTAGATGATGCCCTTGTTGACGCAGTGAGGCGATGTGAGGATATCCTGCACCACTTGCGGATCGCTGACGATCATGAACGGAATGGGTCCCAGCCACGAGAATATTGTGGGGCCATGCTTGGCCAGATAAATTCCAAATTCCTTCAGTATATCTGTCATAGATACAAAATTAAATCCACTGATCGATCCGATCCAAATTTAAATTCTTGAGAGTACCTTCCCTGCGCATCAGCTTGTGGGCCATGCCCAGAATGGGGTATCCAATAGGTCCGGGTATTTTGAGGGCGAGTAAGTAAAATCGCCGACGACTCCACAGAAAGTATATCCAAAGGACGAACATTAATCCACACCACAGTGTCCATGTTATCATGTTGTATCCTTTTGACTGCACAATACACTGAAATGACCGACAAGTTTCCGCTTCTAATCCGCACAATTTACGACCGAACGCTGTGAAGTTCACCAACAATTTGACTATCCAAATGAAAGCCAACCGAGTTTTTATATGCTGAACTCTAGGGCTTTTTTTTCGGCCGCTGTTGATCTGTGTGTACAACATTTGACACGCTTATTTCTCTATTATGGCCCATGTGATGCTCGGCGTAAACACTTAAAAAACAAAACAAAAAAAAGAAAGCCGGTCTTCAAAAACCAAGCGACAAAAAAAAATTATTGTTATCTTTGTTGATCAGAATAACCCATTAATCAAGTTATTCGGAAAGATGCCAGGAATTCTTAGTTCCGCTTCGTGAGAAATAAACAGCAAAGCTGCGTCATCTTCGTGTATTGTCATGACATGGTTACATATGTACATAAATGTACGAGTAGGTATGTTGTGTTGTGTTGATGCTCTTTTGATTCAATTATGATGCTTACGATAATTACCATTTACTGTAGCTTTTTTAAAAGCTCATCGAAAGTGAGTAATAAACTACATATGTATAGCACAGGTTTTTTTTTTAATTTGAAGCAGCGACTGCTGAGCTGCAAATTATATTCGCTGGAAGCTGTACCTGCTAATTGAAATCTAGACTAACATCATGCATATATGTTTTAGTGATCTTGTTTGTTTAATTATCTACTTTTATTAATTACTATTATTAAGACTGAAATATTATATATTTTTGGCTATAAAACAGCAAACAATTCGCACACGAGTCCTATTCCGGAATAAATGTGAAAATGGGTCGAAAACTGTCTTATCAAATTATGATCCTGCTGTTAATTGTGAACTCTTCGTTGCAAGTTAAATATGAATTCGTGCTGGATAATGAACAAGTGCTCACTGAGTGCCAGGATAAGCCTCCAGGAGCGCTCGACTACGATTCCTTGTTCGATTTTTCGGAGTTGACTTTTACAATGGGCGGTGACGGAGTGACCTTAACAGGAAATGCCACTACAGTTTGGGATATAAAGCCAACGGACCGCATTCAGGTAAGCCATTTAACCATATATAGTTTAAAATAATAATAATATATGTATTTTAGGGCACTGCTAATATCCTTTATTTCGATCGTGGCACCTGGCAATCAACCATACTCAACATGATCGCACAGAATTTCTGCGCGACCATGTACGATGAGCGACAGTTCTGGTACAAGATCTGGGCGAGGCACATCATAAATGCAGACGAAGTGAAGGATAACTGCTTGAAAGTGCCTGGAGTATGTGTCGTACATATAACCATGAATATTATTTTATTTGATTTACTTTGCTTGCAGACTAAACTAATCATGGAACCGTTTGTTATAAAGGCTGAATTTGGCTTCGATGCACCACTGCGGCAAGGCCGCCACAAGATTGTATTTGGATTTCGTGCGTTCGATGAGCATAATGTGGAACGTAAAGATAACATTTGTTTTGAAATCACGGGAGAGTTTTACAAGATTTAAATCAAATTGGAAATATATGAATCAGTTAAAATGGAGTACAACTTCTAGATTTTTATCAATCAATAAATGCCATGTCATGTGGGTCTAACAATTTTAGATAATTACTATTATTAAGACGGCACGGCACGACTGGCTAAATGAGTAACTTCTGAATGAATAAATTTATTTTCATGAAGTGGACTCCATGATCGGACTGCTCCACTCTGGTGACTTACCCAATAACATAGCAACGTTGCAGGGTTATCATTACGGCAACTAATGAATATATGTACATATTTATGTATGTTACTCTGACACAAACTGACCGATTGCATTATGATGCAATCCAGCTGTGGTCACTGACTGCCGCCGCTGTCCGAAATGTGATGCGCCAGCATGTATACCAGGTTCTAGACCGTGAGACACGGAAGCTCTTGCGGAACTATGTAAGCAGATCTCTCACTCATAATTGTTGTAAAAGTCGGAAAGTGAATTCAAATAAAGAGTGACAAAAAATCAGTAGCTTCTAATTATTTTCATTAAACTAGAAGCTTTACAATCAATTGTCAAAGTTTAACTTTGACAATGTCGCAGAATAAAACGAGAAGGGGCGTGTGAGACGCTTCTTACGCGTCACAACTTTTATACCCGGCACTCAGGACTACATCTAGATGTAGAAAACATCGCCAACCACTAGATATCGTTCACATTACAGAACACGTAGTAAAAAGCCTACTAAATAAAATGCATCAAAAAAATTGGATCAGTTAATCGTATTTTCCAATTTATGAGATATTTAAAACAGCAATAATATTGGTACTTTTTCCCTGCACATTCTGTGCAATAATGACCGCTAGGTTTCACAGCAGATTTTCCGAAAGTGGAGCCATCTATGAAAATTTCTGGTACGCAACTTTGATGGTCACTCTTTTTATACCCGGTACTCAAAGAGTAAATAGGGTATATTGTATTTGTGCGAATAACGGTTGTATGTAACGCACAGAAGGAAGCGTTTCCGACCCCATAAAGTATATATATTCTTGATCAGCATCAATAGCCGAGTCGATAGAGCCATGTCTGTCTGTCCGTCTGTCCGTCTTGTTTGTCGGCTAGTTCTCAGAGACTATAAGAGCTAAAGCCACCAAATTTTGCATCCAGCCTGCTATATGCTCACACTAAAACAAGTGTATTTAAAAAATGAGCCACGGCCCCTTCCGCCCCCGCAAAAAGGTGAAAACCTCTTAAATCTACAGTTTTGAAGATAAAAGAAAACTAAAAACGACATTCCGTAGGAAATGGCCATATCTATNCCATGTACGATGAGCGACAGTTCTGGTACAAGATCTTTGCGAGGCACATCATAAATGCAGACGAAGTGAAGGATAACTGCTTGAAAGTGCCTGGAGTATGTGTCGTACATATAACCATGAATATTATTTTATTTGATTTACTTTGCTTACAGACTAAACTAATCATGGAACCGTTTGTTATAAGGTGTGAATTTGGCTTCGATGCACCACTGCGGCAAGGCCGCCATAAGATTGTATGGGGATTTCGTGCGTTCGATGAGCATAATGTGGAACGTAAAGATAACATTTGTTTTGAAATCACGGGAGAGTTTTACAAGATTTAAATCAAATTGGAAATATATGAATCAGTTAAAATGGAGTACAACTTCTAAATTTTTTCAATCAATAAATGCCATGTCATGTGGGTCTAACAATTTTAGATAATTACTATTATTAAGACGGCACGGCACGACTGGCTAAATGAGTAACTTCTGAATGAATAAATTTATTTTCATGAAGTGGACTCCATGATCGGACTGCTCCACTCTGGTGACTTACCCAATAACATAGCAACGTTGCAGGGTTATCATTACGGCAACTAATGAATATATGTACATATTTATGTATGTTACTCTGACACAAACTGACCGATTGCATTATGATGCAATCCAGCTGTGGTCACTGACTGCCGCCGCTGTCCGAAATGTGATGCGCCAGCATGTATACCAGGTTCTAGACCGTGAGACACGGAAGCTCTTGCGGAACTATGTAAGCAGATCTCTCACTCATAATTGTTGTAAAAGTCGGAAAGTGAATTCAAATAAAGAGTGACAAAAAATCAGTAGCTTCTAATTATTTTCATTAAACTAGAAGCTTTACAATCAATTGTCAAAGTTTAACTTTGACAATGTCGCAGAATAAAAATATCAGACAACAATTCTTGATATATTGCTTTTACTCGAAAACTACTCAGTATACTGACGCATACCCAGCACGAGTTACACATACTAGACCTATAATCTAAAATCAAAACAAACAAGTGGGCAAAGAATCCCATTCATAAAAGCAGCAAAATTTAATTTATGGATAAATCAGTGTAGGAACCTGTTGCACTTCATTCATCCAATTCGATTTGATGGTGTTAACAACTCAAATAAATTTGGGTCTGAACATTAAAATTTATTAATTGTTGTTTTTTTGTTATGTTTTTTTATTGGATTTTCTTTTGAATTTTAGCAGCTAATTGAAAAATAAACAAAAGGATATATAGATTCAATATTTTTGGATAATCATTTAGTTTAATGGACAACCAATAATTCTAAAAATGTATAAAAACAAATCTTCCAAGTCGTTCGATCTAGTTTATTATCAAAGATCCGTCACCCCAATGAAGGCACCAAGCAACAAAAAAAGGAGCAGTCAATCAAATTCAATCGATCCCAGCAGAGCGCTCTCCCATCGTAGATCGTAGATCGTGGAACATTGAGTGAAAATTATGAAGACATAAATATGAAATTGCTGCTTTTTCCGATTTGAGCTATGGCCAAACGATTTGTTTTGCTGCCATGTTGGAGCGCGGCATCAAAATGTAAATGATGTCCAATTTATTGACAAATGAAAATAAATATGTTCGCTGCAGCATGGAATGTTTGTATGGATTGGGTGTGGGCTTCAGGGAGTGGTTCTCTGAGGTCAATAAACCACCGAAAAAGATTAGCATCAACTCCCCATTAAAGTTCAATTGGGAGCCAGCGAGGGCACTGATCCCCACTTGACTTGAGTAGTCAAAGTCGAAGAGCCTGGGAAACTGGGCTCCAGATAGCGCTTCATTACGACACAATTATGTCAAATTATTCGGATGCCACTTCAGATAGCCCCCTCAATGGATGGCTCCTCGACACTTGCAAGTGGTCGGCTTTCGCCGGAAATCAATTCAATTATGTCTCAACTCTATTCTCACAGGGATTACAGAGGACTACAATGGCACAATGCTTCGGATTAGTTCCACATGAATAACTTTCAAGCGCTGCTGATGATTAGCACGCGGCGGTTGTCCGTGTTGGAACTAGGACTGGGCCTGAGGAAGTGGCTGCTGGTGTTGGGGTGGCGTATGCCATTTGCATACATACTCGTATGTATGTATGTATGTATTTATGTATGTATTTATGTATTCATAGCATGCCCGTCCCCTATCTATCGCGACAGCATAAAAACTAAACCCGAAGGTGGGACCACCCACATGGCCGTCTGTGCTTTTATTGCTCACAAAGTAGCATAAACAAATTCCTCATCTAACGGAGGCAGCTCGACATCGACATC